CCCCCCTTCATGTGACATTTCCCTTGTTCTTTCACTTGTCCTCCTGTTTTAATTCTGGCTATTTTTTGTCTTCATATTCTTTTGCAGGTTAACTACATCCTGGAGTCACGTGCTAGCACAGCACGAGCAGATTATTTTGCACAAAAACAAAGGAAATTGACTAGAAGAACCAGCTTCAGCTTCCAGAAAGAGAAGAAGGCAGGTTAGGAGTAAGGATAAGCTCCGCACTGGGGTGCGGTAGGATTCCAGAGATCTATGGCAAGCAAGCCACAGACGTCTTGTGTCCTCTTCTTATGGACACGTGCAAGGTTCACTTAGGAATATGATTGTGGGGTGGATGAGACAGTCACCACAAGCTAACTTTTTCCCTTTACCATACAGAGGATTTAATCCCTAAACTTCCCATTGCTTTCCCCACTAGCTGTCCCGCAGGTATGATCACTGGGTGGCGCTATGTCCACCACCCCAACAGGGTCAGTTTTTGAATCTTTTTTCTTGAGGGTTATGGACATGCTAGAATGTGACTTATGAAATCTTCACTTTATGGCTGTGTTAAATGCAACACATATAGGTTGCGTGATTTTGTGTAAGAATTTGAGATGTTACAGAAGTGGATTTCTAAAATAAAGACTTTTGAGAAAAAAAATTGTGTGCTTGAAATTTTCTGTTTAGTATTGAAAGGTTTCTATTTTGATCTGTGTGTATGTGAAAAAAAAATGCAACACATAAGAAAGAGAGCAGGAGACAATATAAGAAGTAAAATCTGCAGGGGGCAGGAAGTATATGTGGAAAAGGTGAAGGGAATCATACGGATGTGATGGGATATTTATGCGGATATGAAGATTAATGGGTGAGGATGGAATTTATAGTGTGTTTAAGAATAAGGAATCTAAAAAATGAGGCAGGACAATTAATCAGTGGCTATGTCAAATAATACTAGTAACAAGGTTAAACATCTTAAGTCTTATAAGTCATGACTAAAAATGAATTGTCACTGCAAGCCTGGAGGGTCCATGGCACACTTACCAGGGTGAATTTCTACTAGCCAGGGTTGAATACTATCTTTCCAAAAACTTATGGAAATTTTGAGTCATGATTTCTAACATGTTTTTACATTGTTTTCATTGGTGTATTATCATTACGGGCATTTATAAAGCGCTATCATATTCCGCAGCAGTGTAGGATTACAGCTATTTTCACAAAGATGATGCTAAGTTCTTTGCGTGCTTTTTAACCTAATTTATCTGTTAACCATTATGAGGTGCCTGAATATAAAGACCACCCCTCTATTAGACTGAGACACCTCTGTTATAGAGTAAGGTGTGGAAGGCAATATAGACCGCTAAATAGATGGGAAAATTTAGGCCAGCTGTTTAAGCAAGTTAAGCAAGTATTTATGAAAATACAAGAACAATGTATCTGTTTGACATTCTAACGTCTTCGATATCTGCTACATTAATGTGTGTCATATGACACTGTCTTTTGATCACAGCCTCTATTTCAGTGAAAGATAATATAAACTATATTAACTGACACAAAAAAATTCAATTCACAATGTACCATAGGCTCATGGTATGATGCAATCTTGAACAAAAATCAGATATTCATTTCTGTCCACCTCTTTAATGACAAACTGTAGCCAGTATTTCTATCACTAGAGGGGTTAAATACCTCGCAACCCCTTTGTAAATAAATGGGTTCATTTATTCACTGTAGAAATAAAATCCAAGGCATGAGTTATGCAAAAAAAATGGATGGAATTAGGATTGATTTAGTACTTACTGCAAGCTATTGTTTTCATTACGGTAAAGGATTGCTCAGCAAACTAATGAGATTTCTGGTAGATTGGGGTCTGTATGCTGCAAGTCCCAGTGGGCACATGACGTACTCGTAGGACTAGGATGATAGGGCAGGCTGAAAAGCCAAGGGTCACAAAGGCTCCATGTAACACACTGTGACTAGTATTGAATGCTGTTTTATAAACATGTGGAAGTACAAATAGCTACATTTTCCTTTCATATATTACTTATGTAATTACTGCCCATAGAATTGTCCGTATTGCCTCTTGTTACCGTTACTTATAAATCTTTGCTGGCTTTAGACACATTTCCCTTATTAAACCCATTCTTTTGTGATTAGTGGCAAATGAGAGTTTAAAGAGACACACTATGCTGTCATGCATTATGGGGATAATGCATTAAAAATTGCAATAAAACTATTTAGAAAGCTACTTTTGAATTTTCATTGTGTAGTATATTTTTTTTAGCTTCGGTTGGGCCAGACTTGGTTCTCCTATTAGTTTCAATTAAAATCTTAGAACACATTTTATAGACCCCTGTTCAGCAATAGTCTAAGGCAGCCATGTCAAACTTGCGGCCCACAACTAATATTTATGCGGCCCCGGGCCGCGGTGAGGATGCGATGAGTGTAAGCTCTCCCTGCTCAGCTTCCCGCAGTGATGCCGGGAGCCGTAATATGACATCATTCCGGCTCCCGGCATCATTGCGGCAGGTGATGGAGCTGAGCAGGGAGAACACTCAGCGCTCCCTCATTGCCTGTCCGCCTGCCTGCCCAGCAACCCCACTAGACCCCAGATAAGAAACCAACCCAGTTTGTGTGTGTGTATGGTTGTATGGCTGTGTATGTGTATGGCTGTTGCTATGTAGGTGTATGGCTGTGTATGTGTATGGCTGTCTGTGTGTATAGATGTTTGGCTGTCTGTGTGTATGGCTGGCTGAGTGTATGGCAGTCTGCGTGTCTGGCTGTGTGCATGGCTGTGTGTGTGTTTGGCTGTCAGTGTGTCTGTCTGTCTGTTAATGAGTGTGTGTGTGTGTGTGTGTGTGTGTGTGTCTGAGGGAGCCTGCGTGTCTGTCAGTGAATGTGTATCTCGGAGTGATTCTGTGTGTCTGTCAGTGTCTGTGTGTGTCTGTCAGTGAGTGTGTGTGAGGGTTTCAAGGAGTAACGTGAGGATCCGCTTTTTTAAGGTGTGGATGGGGCCATTGGGGGTATGCCAGAGGCCGGACTCCAGACACTGCTTGTTGGCTGTTTTTTTATTATTATTATTTATATCTTTTTTTAAACAGGGGCAGGGGTTTAGTAGACTGGGGGACTGGGATTTAGTAGACAAGGGGGAGCTAGGATTTAGTAGACGAGGGGGTACTGGGATTTAGTAGACGAGGGGTGGGGCTGGGATTTAGTAGACGAGGGGGTACTGGGATTTAGTAGACGAGGGGTGGGGCTGGGATTTAGTAGACGAGGGGGTACTGGGATTTAGTAGACGAGGGGTGGGGCTGGGATTTAGTAGACGAGGTGGGTCTGGGATTTAGTTGACGAGGTGGGCCTAGGATTTAGTAGACAGGGGGGACTGGGATTTAGTAGATGATGGGGGGTTGGAGTTTAGTAGATGAGGGGGGGTTGGGGTTTAGAAGAGGGGGTGAAAATTTACGTTTGTTTTTTTGCGGCCCACATAAACTTAAACCTTGTTTATTTGGCCCTTGCTAGCCTTTGAGTTTGACATGCTTGGTTTAACAAACTAGTGCAACTGAAACATATATTCTGTTAACTTGTCAAATAGCTTCATTCATGTTTTCCATGAATGAAGCCAGCCATGATTGCAATACAGACTGTCTTCTTCAGAGCTATACGAAAGTGCAAAGGCACATGTAAGTAGAAGTTCATGTATGGGAGGATTTAATAAACACAACTTCCCCTTGTGATGTCATTGAGCAGGGTGTGGGTTTAATTACTGCAGCTATATGTAAGAGAATGCTGGTGGACATGAAGAGGGATGTAGCTCACACCATAACCTGCACAAGGAGTGTAGTTTCATGGGATACTTGGAGTGTCAATTTAAATGCTGTTGCCATAAACATATAAGCGCATGAACTACTGTGGCTGAGTCCATGTGTTGATACAGAGTGCAATTTGTGTGCTACCAAAAAAAACTTTTAGCTGTGGCAAATTGAACATTGATTTTAGAGCATACTGTCACTTTAAGATTTCGTATGAAAACTCCAGATTTTAGGCCTGTAGGACAAATGCACATTGCAAAAAGAAAGCAGACATGGAAGGGTAAAACATCTGTACATAACCAAAATGCCAGCTGTGCCATGATATTAGCAATGATATATTTGGTTCTCTGCCAGATGTTCATTAAACAGCTGCAGGGTAGAGTACACAACAAACAAACATGTCCAGAAACAGATTTCCAGTTAGGTGATACGAGTGTAAAGCTAGAGAGTTAAAGGAACAACACACATATATATTTTAAAGTAAGGCCATAAAGCACCTGTTTCAATGCATCATTATTCTACCTCTTCTGTGCTGTTTATTTTAATGCACAAAGTCTTTACCAGTTGCCTAAATATCTGTCTCTGGTTTGTTGCATATTCAAGAAGATAAAGACTTCAGACCAGAGTGAAAACCATAGAAATCACAAAGCCATTAGATATGTTCCAATACTGTTTCCCGGACGTATTATTTATTTTATTTTATTTTTAGAAAGACATAAATTAACAACTCTGCCTACTATTTCTTCCAGGCAGATATACCCTGCCCCCCTCTCTATCACCACAGACCTTGCCACGGAAAAAACACCTTAATTTTGTAAATATTTTTTGGTGTATATAAAAGAATATGTACGGGGCGGGGCCTGACGGCAGAGCTGAGAGGATGCTAGCCTCAGCAGCTCCTGCAGCAATCACCAATAAATCAGATTTTCATAACCAAAATGGCGATCAATCATGACACAGACGCAAGCAAACGAGAGGTGACACTGAGCGGAACAAAATGACACCACCCAAGCAACATATTATGAATGCTATCCACTCTACAAGTGTCAGAGGCCTACACACATGGCGGGTGCGGGAGGGACAGCCGCTTTCCCGCCGCCACAACAAGCTGACTCTATGTACATGGGCCCTCGTCCCCCCACCCGGACTGGTGGAGACACTCCAGGAGGGCGCAACTCCGACCGACGGAAATCACGAATCCCAGCCAAGATGGCAGACGGCAGAGCGGCCCATTTGGAGCAACAGACCACTAGCAACTGGGCAGCAGCCTTCCAGACGAAATTCGACACCGTATTCAGGCGATTCTGGGAGCAACTAGAAGAGAAGAGCCAACCTCCTGCTCCAACACTGGTCAAAACAGCATCTCGGCACCCTGCACCCTCTCATACCCAGCCGTGTCACTCAGACGCACCCTCAACACCGCTGAAGCAGGCAAACGCGGAACAGCGGAGATCTAACTCGCCACCGGGTCACCCACAAGCATTGCCCATACAAGACAACACAAGCAGGCAACACCTAGGAGATCCCTATGCGGCACTGCAGAGATCATCAAGGGGCAAAGGCCGCCCAAAGCCGACATGCCGGGGCCCCCGCAGCAGCTATACGGGTACGCCCGAGCCTACCTCACCGATATGCTGTAACCCAGCAGAGACATCCACAACAGGGAAGTGCAAGACGCAGACAGCGCGTCGAGGGCCTGAAGAATTCTCCAAACCTTCGCACTGATGGACCCGATTCGGCAGGATTGAAGGGGCGAGGTATGCAACCATCTCTCCAGCTCCTATACCACTGCAACCTGCTACACCGGCCTCAACACGAGACTTGATAACTTTAAGGACTTTATATGATTTGCACCTCACCTGACTACTCAGTTGGTTATGTGCTTCAACTCACGTTTTCTCCTTTCATTTATGCCTTTGTTTTTCTTTCACTTTACCATGCTTACCTTACATACCTCAGTCATGGCAGGGCAGTATAAATGCCAGTGGTTTGTTAAACTCTTCTTACCTACAAAATGTGTTTAACTCAGCTCGCAGTTCTTATAATTATGGTGTAAGCTAAATAACACATATCTGACTACTCATGATCTACCTAACCAACACTAAATGTCAGCTCAACTTATTCAACACATCACTCTAGAACTCACTTAACTATCTTCTACCTAATAACAAAAAATGTGCCTAATTTTCAGACGTCACAATTTGTCTTGCATATTGTATTCCTCCATACCTTGATACCGCTGTTGTGGCGTACTGATGCCGTTTGTTCATTTTGTGCATACATTTTTTTTTATTTTTTTAAAGAAGAATATGTACAATATTATATATAACAATATTAAAGAGTCCCAGCAAAAGAAGTTGTTGGTTTTTTTTTTTGGAGATCAGAACATTTTGCAGTGCTTTTTTTAAGATTAGAAGCATCTGCAATAGTGCTTTTTTGGAGGTCAGTCTGTTCTCATCTTTAGTGTTCAAGTACACACAACTTTAGTGCAGATGAGGAATTCTTTTGTTGGTGTCTCATGAAATAAAACACAAAAACACCAATTGTGTAATCCAGTATATACAATGTCTAAAGTAAAATTAAGATGAAATACACTCACAAGGAGAGAGCTTCCGATCAGCTCTTAGATAGGGCTCTGAGCAGTACAATCCCCGCTCAAGGATAAATCTGGAGCTTTCCCATTTAGATGTTCACAATGTAAACGGCTTATGAAAGGAATAAAACGAGATATAGTGCTCAATGTTTGCAGCAATTATCTGATAGGCCACTGACCTAAGTGACCCGCAGGACCATCTGCCACTGAATTCCATCCACCGGTGTGCAGAACAGAAAAAGTACGCAGGAGCTATCTTAAGAATCTAGGTGCTTATAAGTACCACTGAATCATATTTGTCCCCTGAAGAGCAAGACAAAGATATGAATTAACCAAGTAACTTTAACATGGTGAGTGGTGTGAGGGTAACAGCAGCAATAATGATGTGAGAGTCTGCTTTAGGGATAGGATACAATATCCACAATAGTTATCCCTGGTACCTTTTCTTAGCCTCGGTACTGCACATCCTGAAGTCAAACTTCTTGGGAAGCAAACAACAAAGAAGAAACAAAAAGAACAAAGAATCGATGTGACTTTGATGGTGTTCACCTTTGGGTTAAGGTGTTGGTATAACAGTTAGACCCTTTGAAGAAGCACCATTTGCAGACACCTCTTAACTGGTATCGTCCAACCCTTTCTTGAAATATAATGTGGTGTCAAATGAACCCACTATGTCTGTTAGCTTCCTTATCATAACCAGCATTCTTTATATTTATAAAAAGAAAGAAAAAAAAAACCTTTCCAATTTCAGAAACTCAAATATACCTTCTACTTTACCATTTATTATAGAAAATTGCATTTCTTTCAATTCTACTGTTGTGCCAAGGAAATATGGGAGCCACATGTGTGCAGGAACTAAAATCCCTAGGGGAAGCCCTGTAATAATTGGGTACACAGCATACAACTTCAATTAAAATAAATATTTTAAATGTGCTATTGCCCCTTTAAGGCTAACATCAGCATTTCATACATCCAGGAGTACAGAATTTGCCAGATATCTATAAGATCCTTGAGACTCAGCTAAATGTACAGCCCTAAATCCCATTGCCCTCATGGGGAGAGATGGAAAATCACAGAGCTACCTGGTAATTAGCAAAGTTAGGACTTATCTAAGCGCAACTCTTCTATGTGCAACTAATTAAGACTTCAGACAGCAGTGATTGCTGTCACAGCATAGCTAACCCAGTGAATACGATGCCAGTACCTTGGGGTTTATAATCCCTCCACACACAGAGAAGCCGGAATACTGAAGACTGGGACAAGTTGCATTAACCCCTTGACTCATCTTCGAAATCCTTATGTTTATGATGTAATCTGTCACTCTTATCTTGCACTACATTGACTATATTAGGCTAATAATCATTCTTTATTCTGCGCTAGGCATGAAAGACAACCTGATTTAAAAAAAAAAAAATATGTACAGCAACTGGGCTAAAATATATTCATTTACATATACAAAATGAAGGAGGCATCTTCCGAACTTGCACTTTAAGTGAACCAATGGTGGTGGTTTATTTAGGCTTGAAATATTTGATTTGCTAATTGTAGTTGTTGTAGTATGCGTAGAATGAAGAGCGTTGTGTTTTTAGAGGTGAAATCAAAGTAATTTGGATGTAAACTGTTAAATGTGGAGAATTCACCAAGAGAAATGATAGACTGTGTGTGATAATCTCTACACTTTATCTCAGTCTTCATAAATATATAAATAAAGAGAATTTGTGAACCTTGCTGTATTATCTGCTTTTCTGCACTACCCTTTTTTTACATTACTATTATAAAATATGAATTTTTACAATGGTATTAATAGATGATGAATATAGAGTTAATCCAATCACATAAAGAAATTGTACTTTTCCATGCTGTTACTGAAAACTGATTAAATATTGTGTGTTTCTTGGGAAAGATATGAAAACATTTCAATTTAGTTATTGATACATTCTTCTTTTACACCAGCAGGGTTATTCACTAAAGTGAGAAATCACAGTGAATTTCAAATTTAAGGTCAAAATAGCTGAAATCGAAAAAAATCGCTAACTCAGTTATGGTTCCAGTTCGGATACTTTTACCTTAAATTTGACTTTCACTTTAAATTCTAACTTTAATGGCTAACCATGCCAGGCTCCTGACGATGGCGGTTTGAACATGCTGAAACGCGCGTCGAGCGTTTTCTTTTTCTTTAATCTCTGCACTTGGTAGCACTTTTTTATTTTTGTTACCACTATGGTTATTGATTTTTAGGTGTTTATTTATTTATAACTTTAGTAGGGAGAGTTGGTTCAGGTAGACACTAGTGGTTAGACCACGGTGTCGAGGTAACTTTTAGGGTGAATTAAGAGATTTATTTAATTATGTATTTTTTGTGTGAGGCTTTTCATCTGCGTTTAGACCTGATTACCCGGTCTCTTGTTCTCTGGGGACCCTGTGCCTCTTCTCTCTCCCTAACCTCGTTTACACTACCTTCCTGTCAGTCGGACACTAGGGGAACTGGAACTTAGATGCTAGCTAGTACTCCAGACAATTGATCCCCTGGGCACCGTTTAGTAGATCTCCCTTTTTTTCAAGTTATACTTTTTATTTGCATATCCCTTTTTATCCTTAGATTGATTAAAGGTAGGGCCTCCCTTCCTCATTTCTTATACAGTGGAGCTCTCCTGATGTTGGTTTCCCCTTGTGGGACTCTACACATAACCTACCCCTATTACCAACATATTTTGGAGGGTTACCCCTTCATTGGAGCTCCCTATTAGGTGGTTACAGTGGTGCAGCTCATGAGCCCTTGACTTGTATCCGGACTCCTGACCTGCACTCTGTTTACTTTATTTCTCCAATGTTTATTGATCAATCTAAAACATCAGGTTGGATGTATTTTGGACCATTTCTCTTCACATATACACTAATTAGTCTCAACACCTGCCTAATATTGTGCTGCCAAAACAAGTCTGATGCATCGAGGAATGGTGTCTACAAGACCTCTGAACGTGTCCTGTGGTATATGGCACCAAGACATTAGCTGCAGATCCTTTAAATCCTGCGGGTTGGGGCCCTTCATGGATTTCATTTATTATTCCAATACATCCCACATATGCTTGATTGGATTAAGATCTAGGGGATTTGTAGGCCAAGTGAACACCACAAACACTTTGTCATGTTCCTCAAACCATTAGTGAACAGTTTTTGCAGTGTGTCAGGGTGCATGATCCTGCTGAAAGAGGCCACTGCCGTCAGAGAACACCTTTGCCCTGAAGGGGTGTACGTAGTCTGCAACAATCTCTACGTAGGTGGTATGTGTCAAGGTAACATCTACATAAATGCCAGGAATCAGGTTTACCAGCAGAACATTGCAGAGCATAACACTGTCTCGCCGGCCTGTCTTCTTCCCATAGTGCATTCTGCTGCCATCTCTTCTCCAGGTGATGGACACTTGTTGGGCCATTCACCTGATCTGAAAGAAAACATGATTCATCAGACCAGGTAACCTTTTTCCATTGCTCCATTGTCCAGTTCCCACGCTCATGAGGAGTCATCAACTGGTACTCTGACCAGTCTATGCAGCCTCTGTCAGGATCAGCATGGAACCTAAACGTGCAGACTATAACAAAATGAATAGACAAGCCGTATACCGGTCCTTAGAGTGGCTAGACTAATCGTAGATGAGTCAGAAAGAATGGCCAGGTCAAGGACAGGAGAACAATATAACAAGCCAACGTCAAAGGATACCAGTGACAATGGAATCAATTAACAGACAAACCAGAAACGAAGAACGCGCTCTTTGACAACTAGAACCACAACAAGGAGTAGGAGAAGTAAGCATATAAAGGACTAGCGTAACTTCTATTGGTTCAGACATTCCTTATGATTTGTGGACGGTAGAAATCCTTATTTGTATGACTAAAGATTTCATCATTATGCGCCTAATTCGCTCTGGTGGGTTCACCATTCGGAGACAAATTCAGGTTCCTATAAATCCGTGCGGCACATGAGTATGAAGCAGTGCAGAAAAAGCCAGGAGATCCAGGTAAGAAGCATATGTTTGCAACAGCCCCATACACAACAAATTGCAATGCACTGTGTGTTCTGACACCTTTTTATCACCCCACAAGACTTGCTGTTTTGAAGATGCTCTGAACCTGTC